TCATCATGAAATCATATAAACTGTATAACATAATACTTATCACACCTTTTGTAATTCAATCATTACACAACATATCTTTCCTCTTTTACCAGCCTACTAGTATCCATGGGGATCCATAGGGGTCCCGCTACCCGTGAACCCTTAACACTTGTAATCAGATTCCAGGGCCGTCTCCATACCCCGTCTAGTATGGGTGCCAAAACTATAAACCTCAATACCCCATCCGGTATGAGGGTGAAACGGGCCTTCCCCATACCCCGTCCGGTATGGGTGCCAAAACACATAGGGTCTCCATACCCTGTCCGGTATGAGAGACCACAATCCCGGTAGGGTTCCCTACGGACCCGGTCCGTCCACCATCTCCCAGGATATCTAGTCAGGCTGATCACATTATACAATTATCAATTTACATACCCTTTCATTCCCCTTTTCCTCAGTCAGCATCATCAATTCATACACAAACAAGTAAAATAGTAATTTATGCCAAACAAGACAACATACAACATCGGTTTCTCAGTCATTCAACCCATAATCAATAAAACAGTAAAATATGCACACGGAACAATGAAATGAAAATATCAGACCTCATACTGCATTTAAAACTGTAAAATATGCCAAATAACAGTTAACCGACCAACACACTAGACTCGGGCTCCATTGGCGACCTTAAGCAATTTCACACATTCGTTGATTCAAGAATTACCGTTTTATCATTATTGAACTTTAACACCGTGATAGGAAGTAGGGTGAGGGGTCCTTACTCGTTTCGGGGTCCGAACACGGCTTCACAGTGCGCTACAGGCTGTCCCTAATTTTCCCTGAATTTTTCCCGAGGAACTGAAACGCACTACTGGTACCTGCACGTGTTCCAAAAAATCCCAAATTAGTCCCAGGGCCCCTTTTTGGCCAATATCGCAATTCTGGCACAGCGGCTCTGCCGTGCTCCGGCGAAGGCGCCGCCGCTTGCGGCGGCGATTTGTCTCGGGTTGGCCGTTTTCGGCCGAATTCGGCCACACTTGCATCGGTCCCTGCGATAAAACAACCCTAGGGCCCTTGGGGGGCCAAAAAATTACGGAAAACTGAAGCTTACCGGCGGTGGTGCTCTCGGGTGCAGCGGCTCTCCGGCGAGGTTCGTGTTTTGGTGATTCGGCTCCGATCAACCTGTAGAGAAAAGAATGGTGATCACGGTGATATAAAAATTACATCAAACGGAGGCCGGGAAGGGCCTCATCGGAGGCAAAAACCGAGGAGGGGCGCGGCGGCGCCGCTGGATTTCGGCCGGGATTTTGGCTCCGATTTGGCCAGGATTTTGGCTCCGATTTGGCCACAGGGGAACTCAGCGTGGAAAAACGAGTCGGGGGTATGAAATTTACCTCGATCGGCGGTCGGAAATCTCCCTGGTGCGGCGGTGGGTGGCGGCGGCCGGCTCCTTCGGCGTCTGGTTCGTCTTCTCCGGTGAGGGCAGGCCGCTAGGGTTTTTGTGGTCAGGTGTGGGGGTTCTATTTATACCCTTTTGCCTTTTGATCTCAGCCGTCCATTTTGATTAAATCTGAGCCGTCCGTTTTTGATTGAATCTGGGCCGTCCGTGCGCACGCTTGATCTGGGCCGTTCGTGCGCGCGGGGACGCATCTGGGCCGTCCGATCGCGCGCACGCAGATCGCCAACGTGGCCCGTCCCCGGGTCGACGTGGTCTTGCCACGCGGCAAGTCCTGGTTGGACAGGGCTGCTGGCTGGGCCGTTGACGTGGCGCTTTTTTTTTTTAAAAAAACTTAATAAATAAAATTCATAATAAAATTACAAAATTGCCCAATTTTTTGGGCGTTACAGGAAGGGCTTTGGTCTTCAGTGGAGGAGTTGCATTATTGGTTATCTTAGCTCTTTTTGTCATTCTGAATGGTAACGCCATGTCTTGGTTTTGGGGTCAGGGAGGTTCGAGACTAGGGGAGTTTTTCCCCCCTTTCTCTTCGGGATTATGGTGGATGTTATGAGTTGTTTGATTTCTTGTGGCTTAGAAGCCACGGTTGAGTGGCATTCTTTGTGTGTGTGTGTTTTTGTTTTTGTTTTTTTTGGGTTGGTGGGGGGGGGGAGAGTGTGGTTGGGTTCTTGGGATTCTTGGGTAAATGTAAGCACCATCCTGCATCTGTTTGACGGATTCTTGGGTTTGCTTATTAATCTTAGCATGAGTTGTCTTTTGGAATTGATATTGATGAGGAGAGGTCATAGAGTTGGCGGCGTATGACGTTCTAGAGGGGCCCATCACCTATTCGGATGTCTCCCTCGAGATTAACCCTAAGCTTGCTTTGCTTCTTGACTGTTGGAAGGAAGTCTTTTTTTTTCCTTGGTGGTAGGGTCACTCCTACACGGTCTTGTTTCTCTAGTATTCCCTTATATTACCTTTCTTTACTTCCCGTAGATATAAAGAGAGTGTTGAGAGAGTTATGAGAAACATTCTCTTCCTTCTTCAAGTGAGTTTAAGAGGATCATTTTATCAATTGGGGGGATGTTGTTGCCCATCAAGAAACATTTAAGGATGGTAACAGATTAGGTTTGGGGTGGGTATTGCAAAATTAAAACTTGATCTGATTGGAATGAATTTAACAAATTAATTCTGTTTTCAGCCAGATCTGTTTTCCGGTTAAGTTCAATCTAATCTGAACTGGGTTATGTATATCATATACATAAAACCGGTTGAATTCAAATATGTTTTTTGTTTCTAAAACCAAACATTGTCCTATTCGGTGTTAATTAAAAATTAATTGACCTGACCGGATTTGGTTTTCTTTAACAAAAAAATGGACCGGCCTTGGCAGTTCAGTTAAGTTTACCAGATCACAACTTCTTTTTGCATCCTAGAAACAATAAGTCTTTCACTGTTTCTTTAACCAAGTGATTTGCACCAAAATTCAATTTTGTTTGAGAAACGGGTGTTCAAATAAAAAAATTCGCAAAAAAAAAAAAATTCATTCAAGATCAAACAATTTTTCCATGGAATCAAGAATGCGTTCGAAGAGACTGAATTGGAAGAAAACTTTTTCTTTTATTGAATAAAAACACAAAATTTGAACCCCAATCTTATAAATATACGAATTGATCATTTTGTAATGTGATTTTTTTCTATTATAGACATCAAATTTGCCATTATATTAATTAATTAAAAGCAATATCATATACCTTACTTGTATTCCGTAAGTTAGTGTGTTATCTCTAATAAAACTTAGCCTTAAACCCTAAATTCTACATATTTCAACTCTGAACGAGATCTTAAACATGTGACTTTAACATTATATTATTTTTTCTTCAAAAATAGTAGCATCTAATTTGCATATTGTTTCAACTTGTAGACACTTATTGATTGCTTTTGGTGGACTCGCCGGGTTAGAAGAGAGTATTGAAGGAGATGATAATTTTAAGGTATGATCATGTAGGATGGTAAATTTCTTTATGTTGTTTTGCCTGGTTCTATTTTCTTACTCTATTGGCTTATGCCCTAGAGAGTATCCAATCGAGTTTTAAAAACTCTTTTTGTGGTTAGTTTGTCCAAGAGATTTTCAGGCATATTCAATTTCCATCATCATTCAACGAGGAAACCTGTGAAAATTAACTCTCCTTTCTTTTTCTTTAATTCTAGAAAACAATCTCCATTTCAATGTATGGCCGCTTGTCTTGGCGTCTGAGAGTGAATTTCTGGATAATTTGTTTTAACGTGTATGTTGTGGCTAAATTCTTTAATCACTGAGGCCAGTAGGAGAAAGAAAACGTGGATAATTTTTTACACTTCTCATCCAGGGAAAAAATGTTCGTGAAGTTTTTCATTCGTACCTGAACACGTGTCCTTTTCAAGGCAGTCGAACGATTAGGACTGAGGTTAGGTGCTCGCTGAGTTGATTTCTTTTTACTTTTTTCCTTTGTCTGTTTATTAATCTGCGTATTTGTTTCCAAATTTGCACCTTTAATACAAACAGGAAGCAATTTTTATATCACTTCAATATTTTCAAGAAGCAATTAGCCGAGCAATGCAAAGTGCTAACAGTTGAAGGTTAGTTTTTCTTTTTCTTTTCTTCTTTTTCTTTTGGGATGAGACGAAGAGATAGACTTGAGCTTCAGCCACAAACTCTACAATGGGAAATGGCAAAGTTAAATTCGAAAAAAAAAGAGTCATCTAAAATTGCTGCTAATCACACTAAGATGAATGCACATGAGACAAACCATTGGACGCGGTGTCTCTGGGTTTGACTTTAAATCTAAAATTGCTGCTAATCACAGCCCATGGATTTATATTAAGGCTGTGTATATGGTTCGTGTCTCAAGTCACTATTAATATTTGATTCTTCATTTCTACGTTTGGTGGGGTAATTTTGATTTCCACAAGTCTTGGTTTGTATTCAAGCAATAACTTTCTTTAGTTTTTTTCTTGGTTTCTTAGGCAGGTAGATATTTTCTTTGTTCAGCAATAACTTGGAGAGATACCGTGCAGATGCAGTAATATCTACTTGGGTTGCTACAAAACGAAAATTTAATTTGATTTTT